GAACCTACAGTGAGAAATTAGACCAGTGCATGACTCACATTTGCCAATTTATCTTACACCTTATAATGTTATTTATGTTAAAATAATGTTGTTCTCAATCATTCTTACGCAATCATTCATACAATAAAGTTCTTAATCAAATACAGTCCACTTATACAAAGGTTTTCAATAAATACANTCACATACAAAGAAGGTGTGGAAAGAATTTAAATGTGAAAATTTATTGGATGATTTAAGAATTTATTTAATAACTGACGTACTATTACTGACAGACATTCTTCAAAATTTTAGGAAAGTATGTTACAGAATACATTCCCTTGACCCCTGTCAGTTTTACACACTACCCGGCCTAAGCTGGAATGCAATGTTGAAATTCACAGGTATAGAACTCGATTTATTAAAAGATATAAGTATGCATACATGTATAAAAAGATCCATAAGAGGTGGTCTTACTCAATGTGTTCACCGACATTCTGTAGCTAATAATAAATATATGGAAGATTACGACAGTGCCAAACCATCAAAATATTTAATGTATTTAGACGCCAATAACTTGTATGGCCCAGCCTCTTGCGTATGGTTCGTTTGAATGGGTTCAGAATGTCGATGATATAAATATAATGGATATTTCGGAAAATTCTGAAATTGGTTACATATTTGAAGTTGATTTGGAATATCCTAAATATTTTACACGACGAACATAACGATTTGCCTTTTTGTGCTAAAAATAAATGTAGTTCTTCAAATAGTAAATATTTGAAATTAATTCCAAATTTAGAAGACAAAAAGAATTACGTCATTCATTATAGGAATCTTCAGCAATGCTTGAAGTACGGTCTGAAACTGGTTAAAATTCATAGAGTTATAAAGTTTAAACAATCACGTTGGTTAAAAAATATATTGATTTGAATACTTATCATCGTACTCAAGCAAAAAATGAATTTGAAAAGGATATATTTAAACTTAAAATAAATTCTGTGTACGGTAAAACCATGGAAAATGTTGATAAACGTAGAGACGTGAGAATTGTATTACAATGGGAAAATCGTGGTAAGCGATTAGGTGCTAGAGCGCTTATAGCTAAACCAAATTTTCACAGTGCAACTCATTTCACACAAGATATGGTTGCTATTCAGTTGAGCCTTTTTAAACTTTTTACAACAAGCCTATATACGTTGGTTTTACCGTATTAGAATTATCAAAATTATTAATGTATGATTTTCATTATGGTTTTATGAAAGCAAAATTTAATCAAAACTTGATTTTAAATTATATGGATACAGACTCTTTTATATATACTATTCAAACAGAAGATTTTTATTCTGATATAAAGAGTTGTATTCCTAATTATTTCGATACGTCAGCATACAAACCTGATAATCCGTATAATTTTCCACTTTTGAATAAAAAGGTACCAGGTTTGTTCAAAGACGAAAGTAATGGGTTGATCATGAGAGAGTTTATTGCGTTAAGACCAAAAATGTATTCTATAGATGTAACAGATAATAAGGTTGTAAAGAAAGCGAAAGGGGTTAAGAAAATTGCTGTAGATAAATTAAGTATAACCAATTACAGAGATTGTTTGTATAAGCAGAAGATTTATTATAGTAATATGTTAATATTTAGATCTCAAATACATAATATATATACGCAAAATGTAAATAAAATATCCTTAAGTTGTTTAGATGATAAGAGACATATAAAGGAGGATGGGGTTTCAACCTATGCTTGGGGTAATTACAATATAAAATAAAACTGTTAAATATATTTTTCTTGTTTTTTTT